ACAATAACCCAACCAAAGCTTGCCTGCAAGTTCAAGTTTTGTAAAAAAATATATACATAATTTATTCTACAACATATGTGCCTTCTGTTCATACTTAGACATGTTTAGTGCTTTGTGTTTAGAGTTCATTTCCTGTCGTCCCTCCTCTGAGGACAGCCCTAAAACCAGCCTGGGTTCCTCGGGTCTGCTGCCTTCACACCACGCTTCCACAGTACCGTTGTCTGCAAACTCTTCTGGGCCAACTTCTCAGGTCAGCGAGCCCTTGCCCGATGGACACGGTGGGGATTTTGCCTTCCAGCCAGGCGGGAGAGGCAGAGCCCGCCAGTCATATCTCCGACTCCCGCCGCAGTGGCCGCGGCTCCAGGGGCACCCCTGCCTGGTTGTGGTGCTCCATGTCCGGGTGGGTGTCCGTGCTCATGCTCTCCGGCACCCCCGTGTCGATCTCGTCCTCCTCCTTGCTGCTGAGGGCCACCTCGTTCTCGTAGCAGAAGGAGTTGGCGTTGGAGAGGATGTATTTCTTCTCCGCTAAGTCCCTGGCACTGCAGATGGGTGTGTTGGGCACTTCGTAGGTTTTGTGGAACCTCGAGTAGTCCACTTTGTAGTAGTTCTTCTCTTCGAAGAGCACGGGCTCGTAGCGGTGGCCCCAGAGGATCTCGTTGGCCAGATATGAGCTACGGCACTGGGTGGTCATGGCAGTGGCCTCCACCATGCCCTCCAAGATGACCACGATCTCGAAGTCAGCATTGTCCATGTCCTGTTTGCTCAGGTCGTACAGGGGACTGTCCTCGTCTATCTCGTGCACTATTGTAATGGGGGAGACCAGGAAGATGCGGTCGATGCCGCTGTCAAAGCCCACGTTGATGTCGATTTGATCCAGGGGGATGTACTCCCCTTCCGACGTGATCCTGGATTTCAGGAGCTGCGCCCGCACGTGCGCCTCCACCAAGTGGCTTTTCCTCAGGTTCCCCACGCGCCACATCAGGCACAGCTTCCCGTCCCTCATGGCCACCACGGCATTGTGGCTGAAGACCAGAGTTTCGTTCCTCTTTTTTGGCTTAGCCATCTTTGCCATGACAGCACCAATGATGAAGGCATCGATGATGCAGCCCACGATGGACTGGAAAACCACCATGAACACGGCGATGGGACACTCGTCAGTGACGCACCTGAAGCCGTAGCCGATCGTGGTCTGGGTCTCGATGGAGAACAGGAAGGCTGCGGTGAAGCTGCTCACCTGAGACACGCAAGGCTTGCTGTTCTCTTGGTTCTCCAGATCCCCGTGCAACAGCGCAATCAACCAAAACACACAGCCAAAAAAAAGCCAGGAGAGGATGAAAGTCAGGCAGAAGATCACCAGCATCCACCTCCAGCGGATGTCCACGCACGTGGTGAAGATATCGGCCAGGTAGCGCTGCCCCTTCTCGCCCACGTTGATGAACTGGACGTTGCAGTGCCCGTCCTTCTTGACGAAGCGGCTCCGGCACTGCTGCCGGGTGTGGACCTTGCCCTTGCCGTTGCCGAAGCCATTGGCCACGGCCATGGTGGACAGCTTCATGCCGTCCTCCTCCGAAGACACGATGCTGTAGCGGTTGGTTCGCACGCTGCCCATCACTACTGCCGGGGACTGAGGTGCTTCTGCTTTAGAAAACAGTCTGAGTTTCTGCAAAACCCTTTGGAGAAACAGTTTTGAAAGTTCTACAGGAACACACACACGTGGAAAAGCCGGGCGGAGGCCGGAGTCCCCAGAAGCCCTCGGATCAACCAAGGACAGTCTTCTGGCATGCAGGGTGAGCTCAGCAAGCCACCGTCATAGAGAGGGCATGGTCTGCAAGAGAAAGAGAAATGGCACTTTAGATCCTGGAGGAAAAGCATGAGGGATCAAGGAAAATGACACCTGCGGGCCTGCAGGAAGTTTCCTCTTTCTTAATGACATTTTCAGCAATGCTCAGCATTCACAGCTGTGCATGGACAGGGGTCACACGTGGTTACTGCAAGGAAGGAATTGCCCTTCCCGAAGGAAAGCACTGAAGGGGTCGTGTCACACCAGTCTGAGCAATATTCCCATTAAAGTTGGGCACGCAAAGGATCTCTCTGCTATTTATAACTGTGATTTCTGCTTATTTTGAAGCAAACAACTCCCTTTAACATCCTTCTGTTCAAACACAAATGCTGAAGTGGTTTGTAGTGACTTATGATGTGTCTCGTGGACTGTCTGACCCATGACAAAGCAGGGAGTGAGCAAAAGGGAAAGTGGAGACAGGGAATAAACTTGGGAAGTGCAGACAGTGGTAATTCCATGAAATTAAAGCACATGCAATTGTTTTAATTAAGCTAAAAGGAGTTGTGCATTCTCAGCAAATTTCAAGAGCAAGGGCTGCAGTAGCTTCTCTCTAACTCCATAAACTCATCGAGATCTCTGTAGTTTTCACGCTCAAGTTTTGCCTAAGTTGTACAAAACAATTAAACCTTTCAAACCTCTCCTCTGCTCCAGCTAAAGCCACCAGTAAAATGTAGCAGAATCAGCTGAGTGCCTTCCTAACACCTTTAGGAGCGAGTTCCAGCACCTTCCCCTCGTGAGCCTGAGGCAGCCGCTTCCATCTCCAGCAGGTCATAGACCTGAGGGTCCTGCGAGTCTGAAATGTCACCAATCAAGACTCAGCAGAAAGGCTCCAAAATCTCCTTCCTCCGGGGAGAAGCCACCAAAAACTTGTTTCAGGGAGGTCTGGCTTAGACCCAGGTCTAGCTTTTAACAAGTGCGTCATCCATTAAGTCATGTACTGCATATCAGGAAATGGAATTGAAATACTGCAGAGGAGAAGAGATGCATTAAAGCAACTTCTCCAGCCACACATGGCCCACGGAGGGAATAAAGCTAAACCCGGGTGGAGAGGAATGTCTGCTGTCCCTTTGGCACGGCACGGGAGGCTCCAAAACCATTTACAGTAGCAGGAGATTAAATCACAGCGCTCTTCCTAAATTACTGTTATCAAAACTCATCTGAGTTTGTCCAAAAGCCAACAAAACTGCAGCCACTGTAGAGCACAACCCCTGCCCGGCAGGACCTCTGCTCTTCTCTGACTGGAATCCCACAACAGCTGGAGATAAGATGCTATCTCCTTTCCCAACAATGGCAGCTCCTAAAGCCTTGCTGAGGTGCTCCAAACACTTGAGCAATTTCAAGCAACTCCTCAAGCCCATCCTTCAGCCACATTACAAAGGCTTGAGCTCAGCAAACACTTGTTAGGAAAAGAGCAGGTGACAAGCAGCAGCAGCAGCAGCTGTGTGTGCAGGCTGCTTTTCCCTCCAGGATCTCCTCAGGGTTTATTTCACCTCCTCTTTTCCCCTTTTCTCCTGTTTGTTGTGCAAGAATGTGTCTCGATGCCTCCTTGCCAAGATTACTCATCTGTGACTTCAGCTCAGACAAGACATTTTGGCATCTCTGGCAGGTTCTGTAATGCCCCTTTGAGTGCAGCTCTCAGCACTGAACACTTCTGGTGGAGCTGCCCTCCTGCTTTGGGCACTTCTTCTTACTTTTACAACTGTCTTGCCTCCACTGTGTAAGGATCCACTTTTTCCTCCCTTACACCTTTTTGTTCCCAGGGTTTCTCATTCCTGCCAGGATATCGTGCTCAAAAATACAAAATAATTCTTTTAACGCTCACTTAAATTATTTGTTTTGGCCAAACCCCTACTTTTATTAGAAACCTGAACACGGCGGGGAAGTGAAATTACTGTTAATACATCCCACATAAAAAAAACTTCTTGAAAAGCCATTGCACTGCTCTGCGAATCGATCACTTTCATAAACCACATCCTATAATCACAATCATGTTCGACTGCCACAGTCAAAGCCTGTTTTGTTCCAAGCTGATGGAAACACACAGCCTAGGAAACAGTTTCTTCTGGAGTTTGTTTTTTTTCCGGCTCTTTCCTGGATTTTAGACGAAAACTTTCGGTGGAGGGAAAGATAAGCTGTAACATTTTAAGTGTCTGAATACGCAGCTTCTCCCACAAAATCTCGACCTGAGGACACTTGTTTGAATCCCAAAAATCCCTGAAAGCTTAATGCCAGCATCCTGTGGCTGCATCTAGAAGTTTGGGACCCAAATTTGTCGCATTCCTCCCCTGCAGGACTGAGCACCTCTCCCCTCCCATCCCTTGCCCGGATCCCTCCTCGCTGGCTGAGCAGCTGCACCCCTTTTATTCCAAGGACCCCAAAAGCTGGGGGTGAGCCTGGGAGCAGCTCTGGAGCCTGCTGGAAGCTCAGAGCACAAAGCTCTGGCTCAGTCCAGGGCAGCAGAGCTGTCTGCCTGCTTTTCCAGCACCAGCTGCCTCTCTTCCTGCCAGTGCTGGGGCAGGGGATGGGAGCAGGAGCAGCACCACGCACAGGGATCAGCCAGAGGAGCTGATCCCGCTCCTGCTCATGGAAATACAGGTCCTGTGAAATGCCCCATGGATCCTGGCTGCCCCAGCACCTGCTCCATGCTCACCCTGACCCTCACTAGCACTTCCACCAAAACTTCCCCAAAAGACCCAGGAGCAAAGCAGCAGGAAAACCGAAAGGAAAACCGAATGCTGCTTCTTCTTGTGCCAATCCACCTGCTGCTCAAGGCTGAACAATGCTGCTGCTCCTCATTCCACCCCAGCATCAGCTGCTGGTGGCACCAACAATTCCAGGCTGGTGTGGGAGCAGCCCTGCAATCCTCACTGGGAAGAGGGAGCCAACCCAGCAGCACCAACCCAGCCCAGGATTTCCAGTATTTGCCAAAGTGGGCCTAGTGCAGTGCAGCCAGACACAGAGCTGTAAATTCAATCATCACCAGCTGTGTTATCATCATTATCATTATTATTATTAGTCCAGGTGACCTTTCCTCCTGGAAGGGAAGATAAGCAACACAGCTCAGAATTACCAGCAGCAGCAGGGACACGGGATTACTGGGAAGGGGTGAGATGGGATGGGAGAGCCTGGCTGGCTCTGCTGAGAGGGGATGCTCGGAGGAGGGAGGAAAACGGGGCTGTGCTGCATCTGCAGCATTTCTGAGCCAGCATTTGGGGAAATGCCACGACGGGGAGCCCAAACCTTCACCTTCCCCTGAGCATCCCCCTGCGGACCTTCCCTGGGGAAGGACGCTCACGTCGCAAGGCACAGCAGGAGGGGAATTGGGCAAAGATTAAAGAGTGAGGAATAACTCCGGAGCGCAGGGGAGGGTAGAGAGGAGCAGAGAGGAGCAGCAGGCAGCGCTTGGAGCGGCTTTCTCCGGCTGACGCCACCGAGCCCTGCGGAGCCAGCCGGGCACATGTTGCCAAGAGAGCACCAGCACCAGCGCAGCCGAGCCCTGCTGCCCTCGGAAAGCAGAACGAAGCAGCTCCTGGCCGCGGCCGAGCCTGTGCCCACATTCCTGCCCCCTCGCTGCCGGGCACGGCCACCTCTGTAACCTTTCTCCTTAAAAGTCATTCCCCGGGGCTCCTCCGCTGCTCCGGGCGCGACTCGAGTTACGCGGAGCTGCCTTCGGGGGAAAGAGCTGACCTTCAGGGACGGGTAGCGGGGGGGGGAGAAAAAATTAAAAAAGAGCACATGATGCAGGGAAATGGGTGCGAAGAAATAGGAGAAAGGGAAGGACAAGTGGCGCTCGCATCTGCTGTCCTGCTGGTGACAAAACAACTCGGAGCGGAGCAGCCATCACCAGGGGGTGTACGCGGCGCACCGGCTGCGAGGATGGAAAAGCAAACAAGTGGAAAGGTAAGGCTGAGCCACGGAGACAAGTGCGGGCAGCCTGCGGGGTGGGGACAGAGCTGCGGGGACAGAGCGGCTCCGGCTCAAGCCGGGCCAGCGGCACCTGCGGGTCCCCGGCGGCCCCCGCCCCGTCACTGACCCCCCAAATCCATCTGCCTTTGCTTATCGGTATTTTTTCCTTTCACTGGCATGAGCTAAGCTGAAACAATACAGCTCTTCGCTGCCTTCCCAGATGCTTTTTTGGTTGTTTGTTTTTTGATTTTTTTCCCCCCTGCTTCCCATTTTTTGGCAGGACGATGAAAACGAAAGAAGCCCTCCCGTGTGCACCATACCGATGAATGAAGCCACAGGTTCATTTCACAGCCCTCCGAACCATCCCGGCCGCTCAAACCCACGCATCCGAGTGCCCAGAGTCGCCGCTTCTCCGTGCGGGAAACAAGAGGCGAAGGGATGGAGCGGTGCGCTTTGTGCAACGCGGAGTTGTCATGCGAACTTGCAGCCCTTCCCCAGGATAAAATATCCCGAGGGGGGAGGAAAGAAGGGGGGAGCAGCTGGTGCATGGAAAGTTATGAGCACAAACAGATGCTGGAAGCAGATGCTCGGGCGCTCCAGCCATACCTATCGAATTATTTTAGGCGCTGAGAATAGCTCCGTGAGAAACGCAGGAGTTCCCCTCTTCTCCAAGCCGCAGGCAGCGGACGCTTTTATCGCGGGGGTATCGCGACAGCGCGCGCGCCGCGCATCGCCTCGGCCGCTCGCGGAGGCGGGGAGAGACGGGGGGAAGGAGGCGAGCCTTACCTGCGGCGGCCGCGAGGGAGGTGCCGGTGCGGAGAAGGGGTAGGATCCGTGGCGAGGCCGTGCCCGGTGCCCGCTGGGCTCGCACTGCGCTCCCGCCCGCCCGCGGCCCCTTTTTGCGGGCGGCCATGGCACCTTTAATACGGCCCCGCCGGCCACGCCCCCCGCGCGCCCGCGGCCAATCACAGCACGGGGCGGGGCCCGGGGGGCGGGGCCTCGCGGGGCCCGGGAGCGGCGGGCCCGGAGCGGAGCGGAGCGGGGATGCTCCGGGAGCGGAGCGGGGATGCTCCGGAACGGCGCACGGAGCCGCGGCTCCCGCTGACAGGAGGGGCCCGGGAGAAGGCAATGGGTCCCCCGGTGCCCGCTGCGGACGCTCTTCGTGTTCCCGGTGCGGAGGGTCCCAGGAGAAGGTTCCGGGTCCCGAAGTCCCCGGGTTCCCGGTGCAGAGGGTCCCGGGGTCCCCGTGTTCCTGGTGCAGAGGGTCCCTAGGAGAAGGCACCAGGTCCCGAGGTCCCCGTGTTCCCGGTGCGGAGGGTCCCGGGATTCCCGGTGTGGAGGATTCCCGGGTCTCTCTGCGGAGGGTCCGGGAGTAGGCACCAGGTCCCCGGGTCCGCGGTGCCGAGGATCCCCGGTACCCGGTGCAGAGGGTGCCAGGAGAAGGCACCGGGCCCCCACTGCGGAGGGTCCCCGGGTTCTCCCAGACTCGGTGCAGCGGGTCCCGGAGAAGGCGCCGGGTCCCTGGATCCCGGTGCGAAAGGCCTCCAGGAGAAGACGCCCGGTCCCCGGGACCCCCGATGTCCGGTGTAGAGGTCCCGGGAGAGGGCGGCGGGTTCCCCGGTGCAGGAGGGGCCAGGAGAAGGCGCCAGCTCCGCGGTTCCCGGTACGGAGACTCCCGGGGAAGCGGCGGTGCAGAACGGGCACGGCCGCGCTGCGGGGAGGCAGCGCCGCTGCGGTTTCGTTCCTCGGCTCCGGGACGCTCCGGTTGCGCTCCCGGGCACCCGGCACCTGCCGGCGGCATCCCGCACCCTCCCTCGGCAGAGATAAAGGCTCTTGCGGGACTTCACCGGCACTTTGGGATGGTCCCGCTGCCCGCTCGCTCCCGTTCCCGTGTTTTGGGCTGATGTCTCAGGCCCCGGGTAGTGAGAAAAAGTACCAGAGACAGAAAAGTTTCCTTCCTTTTGTCTCTTTATTTTATTGAAGGGAAATGCTGAGGTGCAGGGTGTCCCATCCCAAACTCCCGACCCTAGCAGGCACGAGAAGCCAGGCGAACACAGCACAACACCGCTCCTACCAGGAAAATCCTTCTCTTTAACTAAATGAAACATCCCTTCCAAAACAAGAGCTTTGATCCCCGGACTAAGAGCTTTTGGAGCAAGGCTGGAAGCAAGGGAAGGACGAGTCTGGCTGCAGTGTGTGGGATCCACGGCTTTGTTCCCTGAGTCACCTGTGGCAGCTCGGCTGGCCAGGGTTGAAATATGCAGAAATCCAAATGATTTTTAACAGCTTGTCCTCCCTACAATGGACGTGGCCTAAGACAAAGAAAATAAGGATGAAATGCCTGGCCGAGAGCCTTGCAGGAACAAAAACAGCCTTGTAAGCACAGCCTGAAATTTGCCAAGCCCCGGCTCTGCTGGACAGTGCAGGGGTGTTGGGTTCCAGGGCAGGTGTCCGCAGCAGGACACTGTCCCTGCCCTGGGGAGGGACAACAGCTGAAATCCACGGGGCAGCCCGTGGTGAGCTGGAAAAACAAGGTGACTGCTGAATGCAGGGGGGCAGAGCACCCCAAGCTTTAGGAATTGCCACAAACACCTTGAATTGCACCCAGCACTGCTGCAGCAGCCCCTGAACACCCCAAAACTGAGCGCGGGGGATGCTCCCGGGAAAGGCAGAGGCCATCAGCAGCAGGTCAGCCTGGAGCTGCTGAGGGATGGACTGCTGCAAGCGGGTCGGCCTCCAGAGAGCTTCTTACAATGTCCAGAGCAGGCTGTAAAAATGATTCCTGACTTTCCACAGCAATGCCAGCGCCTGCAGTCGCTCCTCGTTGCTTAAACTCTCCTCCTCCTCCTCCTCCTCATTTGTTTGCTGAGTTTCCAAGTCTGCCATGAGGTGTCTTTGAGCGCTCGGTGGAAATCTTTGCCCAAACGCTTTGTCCTGGCGCAGAGGCTCCGGGAGCAGCCCGGCCGCTGCTGCCGCTCCATCCCAGCCGCTGCCGCCGGTGTTTGCCGGGCTCCCGCATCCCCGGTGAGGAAGTGCCGCATTGTTGCAGCAATAAACACCAGGGCCGAGGGCAGCTGGTTCACAAGAGCCACATTTGTGAGCGCAGGAGGCGCAGAGCTGACGCGGTGGGGAGGGGGAAGCGGGACAAGCGCTGCTGTTCGTTGGGCAAGCTGGCAAGTTGGGCAATCACGCTGCTTGTGAGTTGTTCTTGGGTGGTTCTGTTCGTTTGCAAGGGGAAGAGAAGTCCAAAATTGATGAGTGACGAGTCTGGAAAACGAAATCAATAAGGGGGATGACTGCAATTAGTTAATCCATTTAGCGAGAGGGAGATAATTAAATCCACAGGATCTGAACGACACGGGCACAGTTCATGTACCTGTATCAGAGAAAAAAATATCCCTCATGTTTCTCTTTGTGTACTTCCCATGAACTGCTAAAACAGCAATAATTTGAAGTATTTGCCTGTTGGAACACTAGGAGCTGGAACTAGAGTTCCAACATTTGCCCATCTATGTGTCAGTGAAATAAAGAGCTGTGATCCACTCCTGCTAAGAGATGCTCTGCTGGGGGGTGGGTGCAGCAATTCCCTGTGTGAAATCTCCGAGATTTTCCAGATTGCAGCACGGCTTCGGAGCCTCTTACTCAGCCTTTACTCATGAGAAGTGGCTGATAAAAAATACTGCCCCACTACAGATTTATCTGCCTAGATGAGTAAGGCTTACTCAGCCATTCAGCATTTCACACGAGGCAGGGGGGAGCAGATCCATCACCACTGTTCCACAGCTTCTCAGGGTCGGGGCAGCTCTGCCCAGAGAGCTCTTCTCTGAATGAAATATCGATTCTAAACCTATTGCACAGATAATGAAAACCATAACGGAGCTGCCTGCCTTCCAAACTTCCAAACAGGGAAGCTGAAGTTACAAGAAAAGTTTCTAAAAATCCCTTTCCTGTTGTAACAAGCCAGGACAAAGAGTGTGAGACAGCTGAAAACTTAACCCTCATCGCTGAGTGAGGGGTTCCTTTTCCTTCTCTCCATGAGTGGTTTTCCAGCCTGACCTAGCCTTGCCTCAGAAATCTCCCCCTGAAATATTAGAAAAGCCACGTGAAATGGTCATGGGCTGAGAGATTTTCAAGGCAAGACCCTTTATCTGCAGAAAAAAGGTACTGAGGGAAAGGAAGTGCTCTAGAAAGAAAGAACATTCTAGAGTTTTTCTCCCCTTTTTCTCCCCTCGGTTGCCAGCACACCCAGCCCTGCCCTTCAGCTTACAGATTCCCCCTGGAAGGAAATTTGGGAGTCGTGTTGCAGGCCCAGACCTTGGAGCAGAGGCTTCAGCCCCTGTCTCGCTCCACGGGAGATGTTATTAAATTGTTTTTTCTGTCTTGGCGCTGAAAGACCTAATTATCAGATTGCATTAGTCCTCATCTCTTCAAGTGGCCAAATCTGCTTTGGTTCTCAAGGATTTTATTGCCAGCTGAAAATGGCTTAATTGTATTGTACTTGCAAAGAAAACACGGGCTGGGGGAATCAAAGCTTTCCACAAGAGGAGAAGAAATGCCATAAATAACACACTGGGCTTTTATTTTTTTGGGTCTCACCATTTCCATGCATGTAAACTGGCATGAGTTTGCCTTTCTTCCCTAACCATGAAGTCAACTGGAAAAAATTCCTCAGGAAAAAGGTGGTTTCCCCATTCCCAGTAACCTCCTGGGGTTTAGGCATTAATTGCATCTTTATAGGTCTAATGCTGGGATCTCCAAGGGAAAATGAACCCACCTTGGGTTAGAAGGAATGGGCAAATCCAGTGAAAATTCCACAGAGAGAAGCTTGCACGTTTGATAAGACTTGAGAGAGCAAATAAACAGATTTGCAAGCAAATGGCATCTACAGATGTGCAGTTCTGCTCACTAAAAATGGGTTTGTCCATGGGAGGGATGAAGCTGGGCAGAGGAAATTGAATTTTGGCTTTATGTACCTGAGAAGAGCTGAACTCACACCACCCCCCCCAAGCACATTTGTTTTCTTAACTGTATATTTTGTGTCCAAAATCTTCATTTAACATTTCAGGTTGCCTTAGTTAGGCTCATCCTAAAGGCAAATCACCAGCCAGTTGCTGTATTTTGGAAAAAAATGAAATATATTTTCAGTCCTTGCTGCTGCAGGAGGGGGATGTGGGGAGCAAGGTGAAGAAATCCTGAATTACTGAATTCCAAACAGAAATCCACTTCTAGCAGGAGCTGTATCGAACTCCCAATCCAACAGCAACCCACAAATCCTGCCAAGGAAAACTCCTTTCCAACGCTGCATTCCACGTGGCTCGCTTCTCACCAAATTAAGGCT